GCCGCCCAGGGCGACTGTCGCTACGGCCCAGTGCCGGGCTGAGGCCGGGGATCTTACCTTGCCGTAGGCAGGCGAGTTCATATGGTGAGGTCCGGTGCAAGCAACGGCATCGAAGGCAATGATGCCGTGGCAGTCAACCAGAGTGTTGGCCCACTCCTCGACCAGCGGACGTGCGATGATGCGGCCTTTCCTATGGTACCAGTCCTCTTCCTCGCTTCGTAGCGATGATGTCAACGCCTGCTGCGACTTGGCATTCCACCCTGCGCTGATCTGCGCTGCGTGCGAAGCGGTGCCAGAGGGTACACTGGGTGCTGCCAGGGAGAGCAGCGGAGTGTCCTTGGCACCGAAAACGTAGAGACCCTTCAGCCGGGGCATGTCCTCTGGTCGCGACGGTCTGCAGGCATATTGAAGAGATGCGCACAGCTTGCGCTCGTTCAGGTTCTTGACGCCGCGGATTGACAAGAGTCGCACGCTGTAGGCTGGGTCGAGGATGATTTCGTGGCAGAGCTCAGCCGTCACGGACAAGCCGTCTAGGATCAGCGTCTGCACGTCTTGGAGGATGTTCTGTCGGCGGATGCCTGAGAAGATGCCTCTCAGCGGACCGGAGTAAAAGCTGGTGAGAATGGCGCGTTAGTCGAACCGTTTAACAGCACCACCGTCGGCCCTCTCCGGCATCCCCACCGCGTCTAAATACCGCGACCGGGGGTAGGGAGAAGAATGTCACCAACGTTGGAGAGAGGTGGAGTGGAGTATGGTAGAGTGGACGCACTCATCTTCGGTCAGATTCTCATCAAGTTGGACATTGCGCCAGACTTCACCACCGCGATCAATGCCGTCGATTTCAAACTGCGCCGCGCGTACGTGGGTCAGATCAAGATGGCGGAATACACCAGAGGTGTGTTTGACCAGTTCTCGGAATGCTCGGCTCGTGGAGGCAAGACTCAGGCGATCATAAGCGGAGAGGTGAGGAGCTGTGTGGGCGAGGATGAGAGGATTGGACAGGAGATGGAGGAGATTGGTGACCGGATTCTGGTAAGGCGTGTAGGCGTCCTCGACGTCCTGGAGCATGTTACGGCGAACGCGCGCGAAGGGTGGAAAACGGGGGAGCAGAGGCGAGGTATTACGCGACGGCCGTAAACCTCGAGGGTCCGCGGCGATCAGTCTGGAGGTTAAGAGTTGGTGAGGGCGTTGTTAGACGGGAAAAGAGAGGCTGAGAGCCAGAAAGCTGAGTAGGTGGAGCGGAGGCCGTCGAGGGAGGACGGGCAGAACTCGGTCGTAAGCGCAATCGCAATCGAGCTTTGGTGTCAGACTGATGATGCTCACTGTTTACATGGGAAGATAAGAGCTTTCGGCTTGGTAAGGTAGAGATCTAGATTGCCAGACCAGAGACGTCTTCGGGCGGACGACGTGTCGCTCTAAATATCCACGGTATCGAGCCCTGCCAGGTACAAGAGAGAGGACGGTGGGCTACGTAGTGTCCGGGAAAGACAAGAAACGTGGGAGTGTCTATCCTTAGCTTTGCGGTGAAGAGGTACCCCGTCACGCCCTCAAGCAAGGCGAGACAGGGAACTTTGGAAGCCATACCTAGATGTACATCGAGCAAGGGACCTTGGGGGTCAACCGCTGCGTACGTACAGTCAACAAGATGCGCCGAGAAATGCAGCACGGGCAGGCTAGAGCTGTGCAGGCTAGACCGGTCCAAGGTCCAAGTGGACGGTCGTCCAGATTGCCCACACACCCACCCCGTGCCATCATCCACATCCCATACCTCTCTCTACCTACCCACGTCCCTCCCCCTCCCATCCGGGCCTTCGCACCGTAGAGGATGGCACAGAGCGAAGAGCGGAGGGCAAGTAGAGACGTAAGAGTCACAGGTGTTCCCACTATCCACTTGTTGCTCGCCTTTGGCTTCCCCAGAAGCTTGCAGGGCAGGTATTATCGGCAGAAGGTGGTAGCGTGGGTTGTAGTGTAACCGTGTAGCATCCATCTGGGGTTGGCCCGGTTGAGTCGACCGTCGGACCCTGAAAGAGAGGATCGGCCGTGTCCAGTCAATGGAGTCATTTGTGGCAGACGCGGGGCAAAGAATAGTGCGGTTGAAACGGAAGAGCTTCAACCCGCCGCCTGGTGCGGTCTTGGCAACAGCACGGCGACAGAGAAGGTCCGCTGCGCTGGCACCTTGACATTGACGTTGAGAACCTCTCCAAAGTATCCGTACGCCGCGTTTTGCTACTCGGTACCTTACTCCGTGCCAAGCATGCAGGCGTTTATGCGCCCTTGCTGACTTGAGCGACAGCTTTGGAAAAAAGAGAGAGGGTATGCGTAGAGTCAGGAAACCTAATAAGGTACGGACCGAAATGTGAGGCACTGGACGGGGGTTGATGTGTATGGAAACTGGTTGAACCTTGGGTGAAGGCCCGAAGGGTTGTGAGAAGGGGGTGGGGGAGGATTGGGGGTGATGATCCGAGTTACGGTGTGTTGTTGAGTTCTGGTGCGGTACGATGAGATGAGTTGATGAGGTGTAAAGTACCTACAACAAAGTATACTGCTCAAGCAGGCCATGTGTGTTGACATATTTTTCATCAAAAGCAGATATCGAAAACGGAGATTGCAGATCTAACAATGTTTGAATGTCAAGACTAAACGGGGCTTGAATGAGCCCAGGTGCGCATAATCGCGATGTCTTGTCCGAGATAACCGGGAGGATCTGTGAAATGATTGCGGGACATTCGTACGGCTATACGGAGTATTAACGGAGTAAAGAGACGAGAAAAGGTCTCCCCGGTCATGCTGGGCACCAACCTATGTCCATTACGGATACAAGCGCAGGTTCTTGACCCCCTCCTCAGGATGGCGCTCTCATCTCATCCCGCCCCGTCAAGCTCCATCCCGCGCAAGAAAGAGGTATGCGGGATCCAAGCTCCAATGAAGGTTGTCGAGCTGGGCATGTCTTGAAAGTGTTACATGACCAAATTAGCCGCTCCAACCGCTTAAACCTGCCATGATTGAGCGGGGATCGCTGGGCTGCCTGATTACCATAGATTATTGAAGCCCACCACCCCCTGCACAGTAGCACGACTGCCGCAGCGCAAGCTTGTTGCTGGTTCGCTTTTCGGTGTTCCTGGCCAAATCAAATGCGAAAGCTTGGTTGGGGATGGCTTTGCCGGATATGGTAACTTCGATCCCATCCCCAAAGTCACCGAGCCAAAGGTGCCAGGCGTTCCAACCTCACACAGGCTGTATACGGTACGACAGCTTCGCTTCGCAGGGTGGCACTTATCTACATAGTATCAACGAAAGCGTTTCGTGGGGTAGGTAATAACCAGATGCCATTTGGAGTGTTTCCGCTCCGCTGCTCTGCGCAGCCACGTTGGCAGTCTCACGAGTGACCACCTTACCTTACTTCACCTCACGCTCAGCTGCACCACACATAACGTACTCTGTATACTCCTCAAGGCTCCGGTGGTGCCGCCTTTGACTTTTGTCTGTCAACCACCGATAAGATGGCGCTCTAGCACTGCGGGATGTTCCTTGGCCGGCGCTCGACTCGAACTGCCCATTTCATTGTGTCTGCTCTGCGTATCTCGGGTCATGCTACCTCATCCTGAAGTTGCGACTCGCAGCGGAGCAGCTGTGCGTGCTCGCCTGTCCGTGCCTCTGCCTCGAGAAGTCCCATATCTGCCCCATTGCTCGGTGCGGAGTTGCAAGTTGCTGCAAAGACGTTGAATACCTGGTGTGGTAGTGTCGAGCAAGCTGGGGAAGCACAGGGAACTGCGAGTAGGTATCCGTACCTGTGGTGTAGGTATGTACACTAGGTGGTAGGCTAGAGGGGGTTCCCATGCCTATTTTAGGTATTGTTTCGGCGTGCTGATCCGCTAGCTAGCCCTGCTCCGGGGGGCACGGAGTGACAGTCCGGAGTCGCGGAGTCGGGAGTTTTGGCCACATTTGTTTCTGCTGTTTTTGGTGAATGGGGAACCCAATAGTAGAAGCATGAATGATACCAGCATGAGGTGTGAAGGACTCAGGTTGCGTTGCAGTGGTTGAGTGCTCAGTGGTTCTTGTGTTTGGCGAGTCGGGATATGAGGCTTCTTGGCAGATGCACATCATGATTCAGCTTTATTTGGCATTGGTTGAGTAGTATTCGTTTTATCTTGGTTTTCTGATTGCACGCTGAATGTTGATCAAGGGCGTGCGCAGAAAATTAATGGACCAGCAAATATGCCAATGCCCAGCGTGGGCGTGGACTATTGACGACTGTAATTGAGAAGGTCTGAGAAGCTTCCCATTTGGACTCTTGGGGGTTTGGGGCCTTGGCCTTGTAGCAGCACTGTGAAATGTGTTTAGTAAGCATTTCTCTCATTTCCATTCTTGCGCCATCGTCGGCCGCCAGTCGGAGGCCGGCCAGCCTGTCCCCGGATCCGATTGTTCCTTTCTGGGGGATGCCTCATGAACCTTAAGTAAGCAGGTACGGCAAGATGGCATACAGGTGGCCGGTGAGAGTTGAGATTGTGGCGCGAGCTGACCAGGACAGGATTACTGCGTGGAGACATGTGGCGCACGCCTAACTCCACTGCATACATAGATAGGTACCTTAACACTCGGCTTTCTCCTTGAGGCTTGGGCGGCCCACATCATGTCGTCAGCGAGTCAACCTGGAGCTTGTTGACCTAAGGTACTGTGGAATCTCGAAGAATCCAACCAGCCTGCTGATTCATCGACACTGTCACCATGATACATCCCAATTAACAACACAAATCCTACTCTGGAATTTACTTGCTATACCTTCCACAAATGCCTTTTCACGGCTTGGGTCACCTCGACTTCAATCCACCGGCCATGCCCAGATACAGCAACTCGATCAGCAGTCCTTTGAGCAGATAACGTGGTCGTTACCCCTCCACCCCACCTTACCCTCAGCGACGGCCGACGCGCAACGAGAATCACAATACCTTATTCGAGATTACCGCCCTACTCTGACTTGGACGAGACTCTGCTACGCCAATATGGAGAACGAGCAACCCGAGTTGAAGTGGTCTGCACCATTTGCCGTCGTGCCTCCCATCAAATCTGCCTCAAGAGACCTGCGCGGTGACAAGATCCTGCTTCCCCAGTCCGCCCTTGAACAATTGCTCGCAGCGTCCCCGAGACCACCCGCGCCCTCTAATTCGACCTTCACTTCCTACGATCCCTTCAATCCATACGCGCGACAGCAGCAGAGTCTCTATCACGAAACCTCCCAGCAACTACCGAACCCTTTGATGTTTCGGCTGGTTAACCAAAAGAATGGAAATACTGTATACGCCGGCATCCGCGAGTTTTCGGCCGAGGAAGGGGACATTGCATTGGGGCCATATCTCATGGATGCTTTAGGGCTACTTCCGACTGACTTTTCTGACGATTCTCTCCCAAAAGAGCCATCTGAGTCGACCTCTGACATGGTCCTCGATACTGAACCACGGTTGATGGTCCACGCCAAGCAACTACCCAAGGGCACCTACGTCCGGCTCAGACCCCTCGAAGCCGGCTACGATCCCGACGACTGGAAGTCACTTCTCGAACGCCAGCTGCGCGAAAGCTACACAACACTCACAAAGGATACGGTTCTGTCTGTTCGCGGCGTCAAGGGCGAGGATTTCAAGTTCTTGGTCGACAAGTTCCTGCCAGAAGGTGACGGCATTTGCGTGGTCGATACAGATCTGGAAGTGGATATTGAGGCTTTGAACGAGGAGCAGGCCCGCGAGACTATGCGCCAGATCATGGCCAAAGTTCAGCCTGGTACTTCCAATGGAAGCTCAATAGGAGGCGAGATCGACGTGTGGAAGCCTGTCAATGGCCAGGTCTTGCATGGGGAATACGTCGATTACGAACTACCCTCTTGGGACCGGACTCGGCCCTTGACGATCGAGCTTTCCAAACTTGCTCACCCTGATCGTATCGACCTATTCGTCAGTCCGAGATCAGCACGACAGCGAGCACGACCGCGAGATTCCGAGTACGTCTTTGGCAACTTTAATCCCGCTGAAGACGGCATCAAATCCATTACTATACAACCCACGAATGTCGAGATGGAGACTGCTGAAGAGCTTCTCGTTTCAGTCTATTGCTACCCGCTGGTAGACAACGACCAAGTCCCAAACCCAGCATCCTTTCAACTCAGGGCCAGAGCTGAGGCGGGGTACGCATCAAGAGATGTGCCTTTTGACTCGGAACACAGGGATTCTAAGTCTTCAGACGAGGAGCAGTGTAAGAACTGTCTGCAATGGATCCCTAAGAGGACAATGGTATTGCATCAGAACTTCTGTCTTCGGAATAACGTTGCCTGTCCAAAGTGCAAACGTGTCTTCAAGAAGGGGTCGGAAGAGTGGGAAACTCACTGGCACTGCGAGCATGACGATGTCTTTGGAGATTCACCGGCGAGCAAAGCCAAACATCATGCTGTGCGTCACACTGAACAGCGTTGTCTGGGCTGCGAATATGCAGCTCCGTCCTTGGTGGAATTGGCACTACATCGCACAAGCGTCTGCCCTGGCAAACTCATTCTTTGCCAATTTTGTCACCTTGAGGTACCACAAGAGGGGGATCCATCCAATCCATCGGCAGAAACAATCTTGTCCGGCTTGACTGCACACGAACTAGCAGATGGCGCGAGAACCACCGACTGCCACTTGTGTGGCAAGATTGTACGGATGCGAGATATGTCAGCTCATATGAAGCACCACGAGCTAGACAAAGTGTCTCGACGGAAGCCCGACATCTGTCGCAACATCAACTGTGGTCGCACCCTACATGGCGTGGGATCTGCTGGAGCTGTTGGGGCCGGAACAGCAATGGGTCAGGGACCTGGTAATGATCTTGGTCTCTGCTCACTGTGCTTCGGCCCCCTCTACGTCAGCATGCATGACCCAGAAGGCAAAGCTCTCCGGCGACGTATTGAGAGAAGATATCTCAGCCAGCTGATGACTGGTTGTGGTAAAAAGTGGTGTGGAAATGAGTGGTGCAAGTCAGGTAGGATGAATCTTGGACTTGATGCGAAGGGTGGCAGCGCGCAGGCCGCTCTTCCGCTCGTGAAGCCGCTCGTGCAAAGCATTCTTGAGGTGAAAGAGGCTATGTACTTTTGTGTGGATGAGGCTTCACAACGACGGAGGAAATTAGCGGAAATGCTGGCAGGTGAGGGTGTGTGGGACTTTGAATGGTGTATAGCGGCATGCGAAGCGAGCTCGGGAGATTTGGATAAAGCGCGGGAATGGCTGACCAATTGGGCGCCTACGAGATGATTGAGAGGGCTAGCAGCATTTCGGGGGACACATCGAATCGTATCCAGAGGCGTTGGCAGGTATAGAGCATTGTTGATACCACATAGACGTGAAAGGTCGTATCCAGGACCAGGTTATCGGCGTTGGATAAGAGGGTAATATGGTTACAACTGTCTACAAATAGTCTTGAAATACGATTGGCAATAGGCAAAAAGATTGTTCCGCAAAAGGGTTAACAATAATGTTCATAAACTACGAGTGCTATTAATACAATTCCATATCTGACTCGGTTTTCCTGTGAGGCAAGGTAGCTCGCAAAGGCAAATGAGAGGCCAACCTCACGATCTAAAGAGGCTGATATCCCGCCGTAGATTGACTAACATATGGCGGTCTTACAAAAGTTAGCAAAAGTGTCTTTCGCTGGTGCTGATCAAGTCCTTACCTCAAGAGATTACGCGTGCCAACAATGGCTGCAGCTCCGCCGGCATAGATGCCGAGAAGCCTGCTCCAACCGGCGTTACCATAGGCGGATTGACCGACTGACAGCGCAATCAAGTCATAGACCAGACAGCCTCCGAAGATCCAGTCACTGATGCTCGACAACAATCCGAAGCCTACGCCGGTGAGAACCTTGACAGTGGTAGATGGCTGCTGGTGAACAAAGTATGCTACCGAGCCGTTGTGTAGCAGATCCAAGACGCCGATACCAGCAAAGGTTTTGGCAACGACGTGAGTGAGAACAGAGTTGATGGACTTTTTGTTCATGGGCGGAAGGCGATTGAAGATAAAGTACAGCTGGGCAAGGCTATTGATGACGACAAAGATATTTGCAACCTTCAGGTCAGATTTGTTCCAAAAGATCATCCATGCTTTTGAAGACAGTCAGCGCAGCTCAGATAGCACACAAAGGAGTAAAGATTGCTACTCACTAGCAATACAGAAGTTTCCAATGGCGTAGAAGGGTGCAAAGTCAACCATGGTGCCTACGTCGGGGGCCATGGGCTCTACTTTGGGGTCTGCCTTGTACAGGCGGTATAGCCAAGCAAGCTGGAAAAGTTGCTGAGGGAAGAAAAATCCAGCAATGAAGAAAGGTTGAGGCGACCAAAATGATAGGTTGGCGTCGTGAACATCCTTCATATTGGGAGTACTAAGCATGCCATAGTTTTGAGCTGCAAAGTCGACAGCGAAGGATAGCGGAGCCAACCATTTGGCAGTAGAAAGTGAGACGCCCATGTTGTGGGTTTCGGCTACGATATTCTGCGCGTAGGTTTATTATACTTCAACTCAACAAGTAGAGTCCTGGCTCATGAAGCTCATGGAAATTGTGGTCGTGGAGGTGGTCTTATTTGATTGAGGAAGGATGGATTCCCCCAATGACGCTTTCAAGTGGTGTCGTGCGTCAGTAATGACTGGGTGGTACAAAGACTCGAGCTCGAGCTCGGGCACTGCAAACTGCCGATCTCCGACGTTCCGGCGATTTTATGAAAGTTACAAGCTCATGACGTGGACTCCCGTCCCTAATGATTCCACGTGCGACTGCGGCTACTCTCAAGGAATTCTATACGTCATTGATTTTCGGTAGCCCGGAAAAGGCCGCCGGATAAGACCCATATTTCCCGAATCATTCCTCCGCACGGTCCGTTCATTAGCTCAATCCGGACCTCCACCTCTCACACCCGCTCAAGTATTTGGATCCGACAAGGTGATAACTCATCTCGTGGTATAATCTCTATGTCTATCTGCCGTCGCTTCTCACTTTTTCATTAACATTTCCCATTGGGAAGTATGTCTCTTCGGGCATGTTGACCGTATCTCCCGCACCGCGCTCCACGTCGCAGTCTAGCTCCAGTTCAAATTTTCGCAGATTGGCAACGCTATTGACGTCGTCTTTGAGACCGGTGCGTAGTATGTCCCGAATTCCCTCCTTTACCTCGGACGAAGCTATCATAGGCCGACTCAATACGCTCAAAGGATACGTCAGGGTCCTACCTGTAGAACCTGACCCGATAGAGTAGTATCTTTCCTGGCCGCCACTATACTTCGACGTGAATCGTGGTTTTCGTCTCGTCTGGCCAATGGTTTCGATGGTCCGTGGCGGTGTGTCGATGCTAGTTATACCAAATGGTTGGTATGAACATGGCAACTTTTGGACCACCTTTCGTAAGGAAGGCACACATGAACAAGCTATCAAGGTGCTGATCTCTGCTTCAGACCACAGTATTGGGGTTGCAAGGTCATCTTTGACAATGTGTATCAGCTTTGATGATTAGTCTTCAAGGGGTATATTGCTCACGTGTGTCGTCAATTCCCATCTTGGTGACGGAGTGCATGCGAATCACAGAAATAGCGACAACCCTAGAGATTTGTCAGAACATGTTCGTGAGTCCTACTTTCTTCAAACGTCTGGCGAAACTCGAGAATGCATGTGGCACTCACAGTAAACCCAATGACAACATCGCGATGAGGCCAAGTCTTTTCACTAGCGGCAGTTGCAACTTCCATAACGTAGGGACTGGCTGTATGAATAAGATCAAGTCGGTGCAGAGATTGAATCCAAACTAATATATTTATCAGTCAGTTTGATAACGCTTAACCACATACTGTCACCAGGGCCGAGACTAGACTTTTCACTCACGCCGCTCCACCATAGAACCGGGAGGTCAAGGCAGCTTCCTTCCATACCTACGGTCCAGGCTTTCGCAATCGGTTTACATTGGAATATTGGGATGAGGCTCTCTTCGATGGCCTGACAGCAAAGGAAGAGAATAATGGCCCTGTTCATCACCACGAGTCTTCGATCTGGTAGCATTCGTATGTAGAGAACGGCGAAGGACATTTTAGCGAGAGCCAGACCGTAGCTGTACGTTGCCGAAGTCGCGATAGTCAACTTCCCTCGTGCCAACCATCATTAGCTATCGTCAGGACCGCAGAGATGATGTATCACCTTGAGAAATTGCTCGTATTCTGAAATACTGATATCATGGTGATGTCTGCCAAATCCTGAATGGGCCGCTGCGCATGCTAGTTAGCATTCGACAGCCGGGAATGCCAAGGAAACTGCAACGTCATGGTTGGACGTTAACTCACAGATCATGGTCGCAGTGAACATGCCCATCGCGAAAACCTGTAGATCAACACTTATCAATTTTCCTCCGCGCAGAGTAGGTATGGCTGAACGAAATCAACGTACCCAGCTAGCGGTAATGAGAACTATACACAACTCAGCAATTTTGTTTGAATTCTACTCTCTCAAACGTCACATACCGTCATCGAGGCCGCAAGTTCTCAGACTTGTTCTGACGGCCATTCGTATGGAAATAACCAGTGTAGTGACACATATCATGGCTACTGTCGAACCGACAAGCGCTCCTACCATGTCATCCGCCATGATATACTCTCTTATAGCCGCCAACAAGGCTATGATATTCGCAACATATGCCCGAAATAACTCGAATCCTCAGGACTCCAAAAACTCCGTGAGAAGTTCGGTATTTTGCAGATAATGACACTTTACGCCTGAAGACACCGAGGGGTTTGCGCCTCAGCCCATGATTCTAGGCGTGTGGGATGACTTTGAGATGAAGGTGCGACGATTGATAACAAGTGTGCAGGCGAGAGAGCTCACAAAATTGGCATGAGTGTACCAAGCATCATAGGATGAGCAAATGACATAAGAAAGCGCTGTTGACGTTACTTATGCATGGTTGTGAGCGGGTCAAGCTGCAACGAGGAGTACTCGGCCCGCACAACATCACGAATTAAGTTTTCCCAAGACCATCTTGAACTAGTCAGTTGCTCAACCATGGTTAAGACACTCTTTGTTGTGTGTGTTACCACAGGTGGATGAGTTGAGTCGAGCAGGTTGTCGGCGTCAATGCATTGACCGCCGGAACTGAGCCAAAGTCAAAGGATGGTTACGAAGGTTGCTTCCAGAATCAGGTGATTTGACGATGATAGCAAGAGCCTGTGCAGGTTTTGCTTGATCACGGCCTTTGATCTTCGGGATATGAATTGGGTCCGAGCAATCGTTCCCCCAGGAACATGCATGTAAGGGAACCCAATATCTTTGTTCGCTGGGAGGGGGAAATCAGACGTGAACTCAAATGACAATATTAGCGCTTGGGGAGAGTTCCACTCAAGCAACATATAGCAAGCTTTTGCCTAGTAACATAAAAGCAAGCTCAAGATTTTGTTGATTGAGTTTACAGCAAGCACCAGTGCTCTGATACCTCACCAACGTGGAATCTCTTGGCACATCAACCACGTGCGAGTTGCAACGGTTCCTGGTCGAAACACATCGGAGTCTCGCGGTTTCGAGCAGAAGCTCAGAATCAAACGTGAGGTAGCGCCCAATAGGACTGCCCACGATGAATGTTTCTGCATGGATAAATGTGTGTATACGCGATTCGGACAAAAGTTTACCTATGGCCCCCTCTACCCAAGGAACATTCACGTATGTGGACAGTGGAGGTATAGAACTCGCTTGGGAACCATGGGATCGATGCACTCAGGAACGGAGAAGACTAGATCGAATGTTTCGCTGCATTAGCACGACAGAATAAATGATCACAGGGCCGTAGTAACGCAATTATTGACATATCTATAATTTAGATGTTTCACTGGCCATAGCTGTCAGTTCCAACCCACATTTTAGAAGTCCTGATCCATTGTCGCTGCCTCGCGGCGATCATTTCAAAGTTCAGAAGGTGTGGGGAATGACGTTGGGATCATCGTCCACGTTTACAATCTTTATCGGCTGAGACCGACTTCAAACGAATAAGGCACTAAGCCCGACAATTGATGAATGTGAGTGTGACGCAAAGACTGGAGGCTCTGCCAAAGCTCTAACATAGCATGATTCTTTACCTACTAATTTTTTGAATTGTGCTTGCCGAGAAAATCGTATGTATGAGGTCATATAAAGCAGAACTTCTGTCTTCACACCATAGAGATTCAGATCTTTGGCCTTGCAACTTTATTGGAGCCATCTAGCAGAGACGAAATATCACGGAAAGACAATAAGCGGCAGGAGGATGATAAGACTTGGAGATAGAAGCCCCAACAGTCGGAAGCTACGAATTCAGGGCGTATTGACCTGTCGACGAGTGCGTGACTATGATTCATTACGTCAATGCTTGGGCTAGCCGGCATGCTGATTGAGTACAAACTTGTCTCCTCGATGGCAAGATAACGTGAGTTGAGGGATGTTTTCTACACGATCGAAATCATGCATATCAAACTACGGATGCAGACTGGCTAGTCGAAGTTTCATCGCCCCTGAAGTTAAGCTTGATGGGTGAGGGACATGTTGACAAGACAGCATCTATGGCAAGATTATTCTATGGATGACGACCCCTGTACCGCACAGTTCTCAAGTCAATCGTCTAGCGCCAGTTCTCAAAATACCTTTTGCTTTTTGCAAGTCACGGAAACTCAAGTCCCAAACGCTTGGGATGTCAGAGAGGAGAGCACAGGGGTTGAATATCGCCTTCCACTTGACATTACAGACACGAGATCGTGCAGCATCTGAACAGTTATGCTGCGTGTATAGAAATATTATTTGATTATGCAAAGTGCCAAAGAATTGAAGATGTCCTGATTCCGTTGAAATGTAATAAGCTTGTCCAAATTTAGTCCTACCCATCTTGATCTTAAGGAGCGACATGGCTCAACCAAGGGCTACTAAGATCGGTGTAGAAACTTGCACCCTTCACCTTTGTTGGTGCTCCAGGTGTGGTTACGTTGCAGTTCTGGATCCAATTACCCTGGTTCTCAAGCTTCGTGGCGACGTATTGCTTGTAATCCTCCAGCCGACAAGAAGAACCAGGACCGCTGTTGCAAGTAGGTATCGGGTAGACAGCATCGTTCAGACGAATGCGAATATATGTCGAATTTCGGCTGTCTTGGATCGGGGGTGACGGCTGTGTGCAGGTTGATCTTCTGATCGTTGGATTCCGGCGGGTAACATTAGTGAAGTTGCCATGTGTGGCGTTTCCAGCCCCGGCACAGTTCAATCTCTCGAATGCAATAGTTCCCCGCATTGTTGTGAAGCGAGAGCTGACGAAATGACGGCTATCGTCCTTATGCGTACTTGAAAGAGGCTGCTGCTTGTCGAATACACCTGAAGCGGCCACTAACTGGTTGAGCTGTCCATCGTTGAGGAAGGAGACGAGAAGCTTTGGTAAATTGAAAGTGCTCCCGTCGCCGCGCTTGCCGGTGACCGAAGGTCCCTGAACGAAAATGTCCATCAATGCGTTTAAATAAGGAGTCATCATGGTCTGAGGCACATCGGTACCAAGGCCGACTCCGTAGTAGTAGCGAAGGTCCTGGAAGTACTCGTACTGGAGGTATTCTTCGTCCGAAAAGATATCACACCAAGGTGAGAGGCGGCCGGTGATCTGACTTTCGAAACCACAAAGATAGGGTATTTGCGACACATCGCTTTGCGTAAGTGTGAGGTTTCCATCGACGAGTGCTTGCAGGCGGGTTAGAATTGGAGGAATGTAGACGTTGTTCCACGCAGCCACGTAGTCACCTCCCTCCGTATCCTTGAAAGCTGGGCACATATCAGACGGCGCCAATGAGTCGCCAATGCCAGCGGTAAAGCCTCGAGATGTCACTGAAACGATGTCACCGAGCAAGGTGGCATTGGTTCCCAAGAAACCGCGAACAAACAACTTGGCAGTCTGTAGGACTCGAGAGTAGTTGTTTGCCCAGACCATGAAGTCTTCGCCTTCAGTGTAGAGGCCCGGATATCTAACACAATTAGCACATCTGTTCTGTTGGGTTTGGATGCTATCGAGCAGAAATCACCTGGTTCGCAAAGTGTACCCAAGATCGTGAGCCTCTTTGTAGCCCGTTGGACTCAAATTAGCAATTTGAGACGATGGATTCGTTAGCGCTGTTTGCCATCGCGGCAAAAAGCTCAAGCTGCCAGAGGCAGTATAGTTGCCAGCTTGGAACTGCACACCAAACCTTCAGCTACAAACGAACATGCTTTAGATGACAGACAAATATGTTACTGACTCGTTCCTGCATCGAGACCCATCCATTGTAAGCGCCAGTATCTGGGTATCTCGATCCATGCCGAGAAATATACGCTGCTTGGTCAACATAACAATTCTCCGGGATTTCGGATGAGATCTCATTGACGTTAGGTCCTGACAAGCGACTAAAGGTAAGCGGTGCTGAACGATCGAGATGAGGGTCAGATAGAGAGATGTACCTGCGAACCAAGGCCCATTTGCGCCCAGGTGTTCAAGAGGGTGCTCGGCGGATTCACTGGCCGGTAAATTGATGTCTTGAACTGGCGCAAGGAATCTTGAACTTCCCTCTACCAGGATTGCCGCGAGGCATACCAAGCCAAGCTTAATGGTTGCCATTGCAATTCCTTTTCTGTGCCGCGCAACAAGAGACCTTTGCATTCGACATAAGCTGCCAACTCCTCGTTATATACAATCATAGTCAGCCATCGGCCCGGTCATTGCCGGCCACGTGCTCTTATCATGTTGTTTACATTCATTCGTCTTGCGTGGGCCATTGTGCCCAGTCGGGCAGGGTGTCACTGGCATCGCCAGGCACGTGATGAATGCATTAACGTGATTCGACAGCTAGCATGAGGTTGTGGGGAGCAAACGGGGATGGAATCCCAGAAAAGACGTTTTCTCCGTACGTACTTCCACTAGCGTTGCCGACCGCCCTTGTTCCCCTAGCCCCCGGGCCTGTTCCCGGAGACACCACGACAAACAGTGAATAGACGATATGAAAACAGAAAGTTATTTAAATCGTAGTTGTTTTGGGAATTTGAAATACGTTCATATCCAATTAGAACCAATCCGCGATATCACACTCATGAGCAGCTAGTAAAGGACGAATGAATGACTAGTAACTTGGAGGGGATATATGGTCACGGAGACCACCTGATGGTTGATCGATAGTCTGGGTAGCATCGAAATGCTGATGCGCCATAGTGGTGGAAGTAAATTAATTCGGAAAGATGAGAGATGGAGAGGAGATGGGAAACCAGGAATGACACTAATTTCGGCCCCATGAACATGAACCTGCTAAAACATTTGTCTGACCTTGATTAATAAGTCGTTCACACTTCGTTGGAGATTGAAATCTATGTGCTCAAGCATGATGAACAGAAATGTATCTATATTTGAAATGCGAAGTGCCAGTGCAGTTCATGAAGTAGAGAAAGTTGGGATTGAAACTATTTGGCATCGACATGACGGGTCTCATGTAACTGAAGCAAGTCACAAGCTTTTCTCAACATTAATGAGTTTAATTGTTGGTTTCAATGACCTGGAGCTTCGCAAAATATCCGATCATATTGCATTATACTGCTAAGTGGTTTACATGATAGATGTTGCGAAAAAATTCCTAGTGCAGGAGCTCGATCACACCGACGCTTTTAGGACGATTACTACCTATAGTTTGTAAGAGCCACGTAAATAGAAATCTCGAAAGCGCTTGTACTGGAAAGTTCATGATTCTATGAATCAATTGATTAAGCCAAAAATGTCTCCTTGCTTCGGTTCGCCATTCTCTAGGCATGGTATGTAGGTATATCCACTACACCATTAGCAACATAGTTGTAGCAATCTCCAGAGCAGCCAACGTTTCCCCCGTTCGTGAGGAGAAGTTTGGGGCTCCCGTTTGAGGGGCTAGACTCGGGGGTGGCAATGATCCGAAGTTCTCGGGAGTAAGCTGACCACTGCCCGACGTTGACTACCTTCCATCCGTTTGGATCGACGGCATCGCTGTTCACAAAGACCTCCTCACGACTACTTCCATTGGCGATGAAAACACCACTCGTGCCATTTGTCCCAGGCTCCGCAGTCCAGATGACGAATGGGCTCCCATTAGGATTCAGCTGGCCGTCACCAGGAATAATGGGCTGAAGGTCGGCATCGCCAAAGGTCAGGGGAGAGTCGGAGACCTTGTAGTAGACTGGGCATCCGCTAGCGATAGGGCCGCCACAGAATTCAAAAGTCATGACATACTTTTGCGAGATTGGGCTATATGCCACTGTAGCCATGCCGGGCCGTAATCCTGCATCTGCCTGGGCGACATCATCGACTTCATCGCTCCATTGCCGCAGGTCCTTGGTTGTTCTGTGAGAAAGCTTTTGGTTGTGATAGGGGTCGACTTGAGTGGAATAATAACACACAAGCTCTCCTTCATGCATCAGCAAGAAGGGCTCCCAGACTGCCTTGTCCCCTCGGGCGATGGTCTCCGGACCAGGGCCATAGACTATATGGCTGACAAACGTCCATGCCTTTCCCTGATTGGTACTGGCATACAAATCAATGTACGCCTGTGACAGATTGCGTGGCGTAGAGACACCGGCCAGGAGAATGGTGCCTTGTGGAAACCCCCCAAATGGCTGCGGAAGTTCGTAGAGGAATGGCTGATACCAGTTTCCCCAGCCATTGACTTGATCTTCGACTCTGGAGAAAGCAGTAAACGAAGCCCCGCCATCTTCTGACTTGTAGATAGGAAAGTAAGTCAAAGCTGCCGCGGGGTCATAGTCTTCCCAAGAGAGAAGAAGAGAATCGTCAGGCAGTTGAAGAGTTCGGCCGTATAGAGTTCTCCAGCTACTCGCAGTCTGCTCTGGATAGAACACGCCATTGTTGTTGAAATTGCTCCAAGGCTTAGGTACGGCAGTATTCGATATATGGGCTGCCAAGCTCACAGTGGCTAAAAAAGCAACAACAGAAGCCTGGATGATAGTGAGCCCCATTATCGGAGGAGAATTTATAACGAATCTTGCGGTGAACGAAAAAGATATTGGGTTGCGATGTAAGTTGCTGAGAATATTGCTGGAATGGTGCTGGGCAGTGAGGTCAACATTGGGGAATACCTGGAGTATATTATATACTCGGCCTCCTCATTGTCATATTACCAGACTCCGGATCCATGACCATGAAGGCTACTATTGTGGACGATCTAGGACCGTGGTCTCCTGTAGAAGGAAATACGTCCATTGCTAGAATTACAGGTAACTCGCAGTTGGAGAACGAAACCTTTTTGCAGTTTGCGGCGTAAGCACCAATCAGCCCATGTGTTTCCCGATGCTTAGGCCCCATTCCTCGTATCTAGACAAAACGCTTGGGCCTGGTAGTTTAAGCTGCTGAAGATCGACAGCGGGGAAACGAATTCCTGCATCGCCTGCATTAGCCTCTCGGTCATAGTATTAGCGAACATAATGACATGCCAATCAATCAAAACAGCGCATATCCGATGCCTGTGTCTTTAGAAAATTTGGCTCGTCGCGATCCAATCACAAAGCATGTATTGTTGAATCAACGCCAGGTACCATGCCCCATCTTCGTCAATCATCAACATGCGAGCCATTCTGGCATCTAAAATGAGTAACTCTCGTGGTCATTAATTGCGTATGAACGATGCAAGCTCCCGAGCCACATTCCTCGCGCCGAACGCTTTAGATTCACTCTCAACCACAGAGGGGTTTGAGATCATCCAGGACGGGTTTGAGAATTATCTCCACAAACTTATAGACTTGTGATTGTCTTCCTCTGAGAGACAATTCTAATAAGGCCCTCGCTTTGGATGTTTAACATTATGTTGCCGGCAGGAGCATGCGAGATGCATATCGGCAGAGACAGCAACGTCAGATAACAAGCAGTAGTCATGCGTACCCACTACTGATGTCTCATGACACAAAAGTGGCCTCGAACTGCGTATTGGCTATTTTCAACATATGTCCTACTGTATACTTATATACTCTGGGTTTCCATTATCGTTTCCGTAAGATACAAGCACTGATTACTTACCAAAATTCGATATCAATAAGCGAAGATGAATTAGCCAAACATATACATTGCAACAACGGGACTTAAAGTCTCTCTGGTGGCTTGTATAGTGGAATCTAAGGAGCAAGGATTCGGGACTTCTTTCGCGCATGATATGAGCTTTGAGGCAGTAATGGAACAAGGTAAAGTACGTAAATATTGTAGACACAATTCCGAAATCGTCTGAATCGCGTTATAAGCCAAACAGCAATGTAGTTTGCATGCAACTGCTGCGTAGAGCCTTTTGAACTGGCGATACTGTCGCATCTACAAGACCAGTAAGCAGGAAGCGATCATTCTCCTACTTCACTGGAGGCAATCTCACGGGTGCATTCACTTCTCAGGCCGCCGGTAAAATGTCTAGAGTATTGACGATCACGACCTTGAGATTTCCGTGTTGAACAGAACCACGATCCCGCGACGCCATTAATCGAGTAGTCAGCCGGATTTATGGGATTATGAGTACACGTAGTCACGTCACTAAACTTACAACCATTGGAATGCTCAAAGGTGGCGGGGAGCGATCAGTAGTGTATTATCCGACGGCGTTGGGAACATTGGGATTAACAGATTAGCTCTTTGATGACTGCACATCCGAGCGGCTAGATGCGGAGATGCTGCAAATGTCAGGCCTGTCGGCTACGGGCCACCTTAAGTACGTAGTAAGAAGCTTTTCGTTTCGGCTAAGCGGGTCAGCATCGCTCATGGCCACCATCGGCTAAGGTCCGCCAGGTAAACCACAAGTGGTTCGGTAAATGAGAAGGTGTATGAGTCGTATCCGCTCTGAGCCCGCACTGTGTCGTAGACCCCAACTTTGGCTGTAGTGGGCAGCTCTCCAAAAGTACATATCCGCCATACACCTACCTAGTAGCAGCGAATGGACAGGCGGTAGATTTCACAATGGTTACAGTACCTGAGGTATAGGCCGAATGCTATGTATTCCGATGCGGGCAGCGGGATGAAACCGAGCGGCCCGGTACGCGACAGTGCGTCTTGCTCGAAGCCGTTGTCTCATGCTACGGATCAAGAGGGTCATCTATCTTTGTGTTTGTGATCGACTCGAGATTTAAACACTCGCCGAGCCCCAAGAATCTACCAGACGCAGAGACATCTTAATTCCTTTGCTACTTTCACTGCCTGACCTTGATTCACTTCCCTCAGCTTTTTGTCACATAAGCAGTCAGACTGTGCTCCCATCACCTTAACAGTTTGTAACCCCGCACATCCTTCATCATGCTCGGAAAAATTGCGCTCGAGGAGGCCTTTGCTCTTCCACGTTTTCAAGAGAAGACACGTTGGTGGGCAGGACTTTTTGCCATCGACCCCGAGAAGCACGCAGCTGAAATCTCCGATGTTGCGGACATTCGACTCAGCTACATGGACAAACACGGTGTTGGGTTCACCATTCTATCGTACACAGCACCTGGGATCCAGGACATCTGGGATCCGAAGGAAGCACAGCTTTTGGCCAAAGAGATCAATGATTACATTGCTCCAGAGGTTAAGAAACACCCTGAACGTTTCGGCGCGTTTGCGTAAGTCATCTACTTTTAGAAAGCACTTGAAGTATTCTGTGGCTTACCTGTGCCAGAACTCTTTCTATGCATGACCCCAAGGAAGCTGCCGATGAGTTAAGGCGTTGTGTAACTGAGTACGGCTTCTTGGGTGCCCTTGTCAACGACACTCAGCGGGCAGGCCCTGATGGTGACGACATGATCTTCTATGACGGCCCGGAATGGGATGTTTTCTGGTCTACAGTGACCGAACTCGATGTTCCTTTCTACCTGCACCCACGAAATCCCACCGGAACAATTCACGAAAAGCTATGGGCAAAGCGCTCATGGCTCATTGGACCTCCATTGAGCTTTTCGCAGGGAGTCAGTCTGCACGTCCTCGGAATGGTCACAAACGGTGTCTTCGATCGCCATCCCAAGCTCCAAATTATCTTGGGCCACCTAGGAGAGAAGATACCATTCGACATGTGGCGCATTAACCACTGGTTCGAGGATGTGAAGAAGCCGCTGGGGCTGTCTTGCAAGCGAACTATCCGCGAGTACTTTGCAAGCAACTTGTGGATCACGACTAGCGGGCATTTCTCCACCACGACTCTTCAGTTCTGCATGGCTGAAGTAGGAGCGGATCGCATATTGTTTTCGATTGACTACCCTTTCGAATCTTTCTCGGATGGATGCGATTGGTATGATGCTCTTCCCATCAATGATAACGACAAGAAGAAAATCGGGCGGGACAACGCCAAGCAACTGTTCAAGCTGCCGGGTTTCAAGGACAGTGAGGCGTAAAGTCAATGTTCAAATGAGCTTTTGTAGGTGGGACTAGACACATCATGGACGGAAAGGCGAGCCAGCGGATACCGTGTTGCTTTGTAAGCGGCCTATCAAGTACAAGTAATAATTTGAAAATACCAGATACGAGTCTTCAGGATGCATTCGTGTGTAATAGCGAGCCACTGGCAGGCAATCTATGATTCGTACCTAACTTAATCATTGACTGGCTATATAAAAGCTATTTCCTCATGGATGTAGCAAGAGTCACAAAGAATTGTTTCTCGCGCATAAGAGCATCAAGCTGTGTCGAGATCAACTAGATAGTACATGTATAGTTAACGAGTGTATGAAATTGCCGGAGAAGCTACTGCTATCTGAGCGACTCTTCCCGTTCGTGAGAAATCACATGGCGAGCTTGAAGTCATGGCTTATCAGCGCTGGTTTCTGACTAACTAATTCTCGTTGTGCTAACATCGGAAGCCATTTAGGAACTTCCGAAAGGGGCACTGTGAGCGGGGGTGGGGACGCGGGGTTCGGGGTGCAGGGTCCGGGAGCCGGCAACCGATGTGCCTACTGCAGTAAGAAACTCTCTCTTATCAGGTGCTCCACACAACTGGGCGGCCCTGTTGACTTGGACTGACTGACGTCTGGTCGCGTGGAGGAAGGCTTACGCATCTCCATCTCTCCACGATCATTTCAACCTCCTCGCGCTCCTCACAATCATGCCTCGCCCCAAAGTCCCCGAGAGCCAGCGTCAGCGTGCTGCTGAGGCATGTAGGTTCTGCCGCGAAGCCAAGAAGAAGTGCAGCGGCACTGCACCTTGTAATCAATGTGTTCGCCGTGGTCTTGAACCTGACTGTCGCATGACGTATCTACCCAGAGGTTCAAGGACGAAAAGGCCCTCAGTTACAAGGGCCAGTACTGCTGGTGGGCGGAGATCACGCGCATCCTTCGAGCATGGTTCTATCACAGTGTCAACAATCGCTTCCGGGTCATCAACAACTCGTCCGCGACGGCACAGTGAGATTGACACGGAACAGCCTCCGAACCCATTCCCAATGTCTCCTTCAGTTTCTCAACAAGAATGCGAAGAACCCTGTGTTGATGCGCATCAAAGTCCCATGACACCTCCTCGAGAATCCCACACCGGAGAGGATACTCGGCCAGAATCCTCTCTACTGGCCAATCCAAGTAGATTATTACGGAGTGCACACGGTGAACAAGGTAGGTAGTTGTCGGGTGGTTTACTCGACCTACTAGCGCACTACTGAGATTGCTGACCTTGAACGTACATATGAAAGTATTCGTTGGGGGCGCTGCAGCAATCTCGTTCCTTCAAACCGTTCGCCAGGTGGTGGTGAGGCAGATTGGCCCCTCACCTTTCTCCCACAATGATGGAATGGAGACGATGCTCGAAGCCGAGTCTCCGGAGGCAAGGCGGTCGATTTCATCAGATGAGGCCGTGGACTTGGGCAATCAGCAACGACTCGATTACTTGAAATGTTACTATACAATCGTAAGAGGACCCCCCTCCTCAAATCTGATTATAACTAAGTATCATGCCACAGACAGAAGGTCTCATCAACATCCTGGACTCTGATGATCAAAGGGAATTATTGTGCTTAACCGACAGCATCTGTGTCGGAGTTACATCACCCTTTGACGAAAATTCTTTTGCTGACAAGGCGGCTTGGCCATCAAACCATTCACCGCACCTCTCAGATGCCATCAGAGACATGGTAATGGCAATAGGGGCACAGTGCAGCAACGCACCAGAAGCTCAAGATCACAGCTTCACGTTTTTTCGCAAAGCACAGCGGCAAGCCTTCTCTGGACTGCTAGAAGATCCAGACTTAGACATGGTCAGACTTTTCCTGCTTATGGCATTCTATATGCTGGGGAATTGCCGCAGAAATACAGCGTACATGTACATATCTATTGCTGTCAGGGCTGCTCTTGCACTTGGCCTTCACAGTCAAACTATGTATACATGTGAGCCCAAGTCCCATCAGTGTGGACTATTGAAGTAAGTCATCCCACAGCAAAATGCGTCTGTAAAAATTGATCGTACCTCGCTCACATTCGCAACACTATAAAGATCGAGAGTTTGGATCAGTGTACGAATTCTGGACAAGCTTGTTAGCTCTCTCTTAGGCCGGCCAGCCGCCACGGCTGGAACGGATACTAGGCCTCTGATTGGAGATTTGGCACCCGATTGCAACTACGGATCGAAATATCTTGTTGCAACGTGTGAGGTTGTTGAAATTATCAATGATATCAACAACACCTTATATCACGGTAAAGATATCACGGTTCCCGTCGTGGAGCAACTTCTAGTCAACATAGATGGCTGGAAAAGGGATCTCCTCATGCCTTTGGAGAACCCTGAACAGCCTAAAGTTCTGGGAGATTCCATCGAAGCCAATCGAATGGCCGTTGCCAAGATCCATGTATCTTGTCTATATTATTTCGCTGTCACACTGGCAACACGGCCGATATTCATTTCCTCTCTCAACAGTCAAGCAGGAAACAAAATTCATCATCCGCCGCTAGCCGCGGCGTGCATCGAAGCTGCCGTGTATTTGGCACAAACTTGTGCTGATGCTCTGAAGGCCGGGCTACTCGAGAGAAGCATGTGTATCCTGAAGTAAGATTCAACTGTTCTGGTTTCTGTATTTGTTCATTTCCCACAAGGTTCGCTCTGAGACAGTGCTAATAATCCCACACAGAGCTTTGGTATTTTCTGCAGGACTCATTCTCGGAGTGGAGTGCTTCGCAAAGGTCAGCATCGATCTCGAGACAGATAGAGCATTTCAAGGAGCCATAGATGTTTTAAGATTTCTTGCTGGCCAAAGCCCACAGGCCGCACATTACCTGGAGATATTGACGTCGTTGGCTACCGCCATCGCAGAGCGTCGCTTGAAGTCGAATAACGCTGGGAGCAGTCGATACGTCTCAAGGCTCTTTAGCTTGGAGAGTCTAGGCAGCGTCAGCGCTGGCAACCAGGAGGGATATACGGAGGATGAGACATCCTGGGCCCCAACTCGGGCAGGAACTGAACAAGGATCCTTTGACGTTTGGCCTGGGGCTGACGGGGGGTTGTTGAACTGGAGTGAGCTCCAGTTTGACGATAGCGATCTGCATATTGACTGGCAAAGCTTGAGTGTATTTTGAGACAGCTATGCACAGATTTCTCGAGAAAAAGGCAATGCCAAATCAACGATGGTCACATTAAAAGTTATAGATGTCCGAGCCATCACAGTACCAGCCTAATGTTACCCGGAAAGAAACAATAACCCCCCTTTCACAACATTGGACTACGGGGAGCTGCATCCCAAGAAACTCTGATTGAAGTGAGCGTTCCGACCAACAGTATAGCGAAGAAAACACAAATTTTCGAAGTGGGAAGAGGTGGCTTGGTGTAGAAGTACGCCGCCAGGGGAATTGAAATCTGGTTCGGGAAGCCAATTTTTCAGGCACACACCTTGCGGGCATGAAAATATGATTTGCGACTTTTCATCAACCATGTCGCTTTTTCGTGTCTGGCTGGTCATGATAACTCGCCGAGGCTGAAGATCACTGAGTAATACGATCTAGACGATTAGATGCGTGTGTAGATACAACAGCTATGGGCCTGCTTTTGCATTATTCTTCTAGACATCCTTGCTATTGTTCCGAATCCAGCATCCTGAGAAGCCAACTCTCACGAGCGTCGCCTCAGTTCGGTTTGATCCGTAGATATCCTTGAGAAAGTCGGCACAGTGCTCCGTGTGAAACGAGTTAACAATTATGCCATCAAACGCGGTTCGTTCCTCGAAAAGGGTCCAAAATTGCTTTTTCCAAAGCATCGAACAGTGGTTGAGATGGTCCCGAATTGAAGTATAGTAGACTTCTTGGTCACCCATTGCTTCTGCGGCTATGGGTTGAGTCAAGTTTTGACTGCAGCAAAGTGTTAGTTGGTATAGATATAATACACAATGATTTGAGTAAGTATTCGTTGACATACTCCGCGAAGGCATTCCAGCTATCGTCATCTTTATATTCCGTTTCGAACTCTCGGTCGTAGCATTGCGACGGAACCCAATAATTCAGTAAGGTATCGTACTTGCAACCCATCTTCTTCGCCTCGACTGTGGAGTTTCCGCAAGAGATATATTGGGCGTTGGAAGTGACATTGTGGAAAGCTGCGATGTAGTCACTCGATGTTGGAGTTCGGCTTCCCCCATCTTCTCCATCGGTGACCTTGCCGCCTGTGTTCTGGTTCAGAGGACTGGGCACTAGAAAGTAGAACGCTGCGACCCATAGAAGAGATGCGACGAGAAATACGAGGACGTCTCGAAGAAGCCTGCCATGGCGTGATGTTCTCAGAGCTTGTTGTTGGCGGCGGGAGCTGTCATCGTCCATCTCGTCTTCGGTGGAAGTTCGCTTGTTAGGGTCGTCCCGAAAGCCTAAGAAGGGTTCATGGTCCTCCTGTTTTGACTCCATCGTGGCTTGTTCCGAGGACTGTTTGGGCACTTTCCGTGTTCTCGATAGCGACCGCTTCGTCGTCGTAACTTAGTGATTGCTGATGATGTATGAGGTTGGGGTGGGAAAAACAATGAGGTTCTGGCGAGATTTGAACCTACCTTAGACAGCAAAACACCCCAGGGGTTCTCACAAAGTTGTGCGTTTCATGAGTTAGAAACAACGGATAACATAGCCACTTCTGTTTCAGGCCCATCCAGACATTGGCGAATTTAGCGCTCGTCCCATGTTTGCACCATACAAGTAATTTTGTCAACGACAGGGTCTGAGCTCGACCATGTGCGAAACATAAATGAGACGCAAGTATTGAGGCACAGAGTATTTCATAGTTCTAGAAAGCGGTCTGGCAAATTTAGTGAGGTAATTACCCTCAAAGGCTTGAACCATCATCCCTCCTAACGCATCCTGAGTTCGCACGTATGTCACTTACGGGCGTTGCTCACACCCATGAGAGACTCCACCGCTGCAGCACCCACCCCAGTAAAAAATGCCAGGGTGACCAAAAGGTATTATTGATCGCGATCACCGTGCGGGTTCTCTGCTGTATTAAACACCAACGTTGCCACTTATGTAAAGGCGGCGAAGTTGTGTCGCAAAAGTAGTATTCTTTCAAATTATACTGCATCGCCATGTCTTATTGCAACAATAAACTCGATTTTGTCCTTTCACAGATTGAGAGAGATGCGGGCTGATTGCAGCTTGTGTACTTGGCGAGTCCGCACGCATTCGCTGTTTGTATACAAGACATACATATGTACGGCTAACTGAAGCCATTCACGATCCTTTCACTATGCTGAAGGCATGACATCATTGGCCCCTAAAATATCCGCAACCTCAATCGGCCTTGAGTGATCGACATATGCATCTTGACATGAACTTCTATGTGTCCGTTTTGTGTGGAGCCTCGATAAGTATGAATTCGATTTAGTACACCGAGAGAGGTACTTGACAGAACTAGTGCAAAAAGCATAGGGTGCATGTAATCAATAGGACTATTCTGTGGATAATGTTTATATCACCTTGGTGAGTTAGGGTCTGTACAAACGATGAGCCCCGTTCGACACATAACTCAAAAGGCAACAGTGGAGGGTCTTGACCCTTCACCTAATTTATAACGCAATAACTTTCTGTAAAGAAAGCCTCAAACCCAGATACATAACGGCAGTTGTTAGGTGTACAGTGAGCTAGTGTGGCACACGTGTATACTGGCACGCAACACCAGTGCTCTCTTTTCACCCAAGACCCGCAAGCGGGCTATGCCTCTCCAGACTCGGAATGTCGATAAGATCCCTCACTTAGACCGCTAAGTAGCTACGGTGGCAAACCTTAGCCTGTTTGTTCTAGCCTTACACTTCGTAGCCACAGAATCACCAGTTTCTTGGTACTGTCATGTCCAAATCCTCGAACGTGGAGAGCTGCCTCTGAATGCACTCTTCGTCGGGGTGCGCTAGAGAATCCCATGCTGCAGCTGCACCGAGGCATGTGGAAAACAATTCTTCCATAGAGCCTTGTCCAATCTGGCTCTCGGCGCTCAGTGCATCTTCAGGAACCGGCAGCACGGTCCCAGTAGCACACCTATCCAAGGAGGTCCCTAGAATCTGTCTGATGCGCTTCATGTAGTCTGGCTCTTCTGGTCGTAGTCCTTGTTGAGATGAAAGATAGTCATCACGGGTTTTCCAGGCCTTTACCGTAAACCTGGCGAGAACGAGGTTATACTCCTGAGAAGGGTCCAAAAACTCGGGATGAAACTCGTAAATAGACGGAACCAGCTGCCAGGCCCGCTCGACTATAGCCCCGGTCATTCGCTGGCTAAGCTGGCCAATCATGAAAATTAATACGTCATACTGAAATAGCAACTTGAGAAACCAGTGGAACTCGGGGTGTCTATTCGATCTATAGGCGTTGATGTTCTGCTCGGTGGTCATGACAGACCATTTAAATAGGTTGTCTTTAGGTGTGATAATTTCCGAGCCCCATTCTGGTTGTTCTTGGGGAGGGCGACTCGTTTCCTGAACTTTTTGAAGTATCAGAGACTTCAAGAGGCTGGCCAACTCGTGGACAGGACCAGCCGTCGGATCGGAGTTCTTATCGATAACGTTATTGAGCCGACCCTCGAGATTCTTAATAAAAGCGCTGATTTGTGCCGACTGAACTTTGCTTCTTCTTCCTGAGCTCAGGGTGCTTAACTCGTTGTAAAGCATTAACGATTCGATGTCTTGCTGCTGCTGAATGCAAAAGCCAACTTGATACACCAAGAGTGGAATTACCATGTCTGTTGGGCCTTCGCGATCCTGATATCGCTCCGTTGCACCTGCATGTAAGTCCGCGTCATTGAGATTCTTGGGAAGCTTGCAGTCGCTAGGTCGAGGAAGCAACGATTGGCTCAGCCCTGATATCATGGAGAATTTGGAGTCCAGCATGAAAATCTGCCACCAAATCCGCCGCCTCATCTCGGTCTCAAAAGGTGAAAGGCCGAGAAGCTCTCCATCTCTGTGGAGGCCCATTTTCTGGGCGATTCGTACGCAGATGCCATTCAAAATCCAAGCTCCATGGATGTTGCACCGGCCCTGTATCGACATCTTGGACATAATTAGCAAAATAGACAGCAACAATCAAGAAAGTGGCCTTACAATGTGCAAAACTAATGCCTGGAGTGTTGTCAGATCGTGAGATTTAAGAAATTGCGCCTGTAGCAGGCTCGCTCGTACTCCGGATGAAAACCGCCGAAATGCAGCTTTGCATGTGGAGCCTAGCATTGCGAGGCACTCGCCATCATTCATGGAGACGATGGACATGCTGTACACGGCGAAGAGGAGGGCGTCAATGTTGTGTGGCAAGGTCCCTGGGCCAGCGGCAGCTTCTGCCACAGACTGCTGCAAGGTGGGAGGGTGTATGATTTTCGTAAGAGAATTCACTCTCTCGAGAAAGATCTGCCATAAGCCGAAAATTTGACCGGCGCTTGGGTAAAGATCATGAGGTTTCTCAGACGGCAAATTGCCGCCGACAAGAAGATATTCGCTGTAATCAGGCATTGAAGCTCCGGGGTCCCAGTCGTGGGGTTCTGCCTCAGCAATATCCTCTTCGTGTTCCACAAGTTCTCTCATCCCACGTAGCTAAATGTGTTGTTTTCTTAGCAAGAAGGGCAGCCAGGCGACGGATATTTAAAAAGGTCGTACCTCTTCATAGACGGTGGCCCATAGGAAGTTGTCCATGAAACGCACAGTACCACCTTCCGCCACAAGCTTGCCAGCGGGTTTCCAGTTGATTTCGTGATTCTCATATTGGGGAATGCTGGAAGACTGTGGCGGAGCGACTATGCCATTGTCTTCCAGGGGCTCATTGCTTGCAGCTGCATATCGGGCTATAAGCTCCTCGCAACGAGCAAGTCTAGCTTGCAGCTCCGCATTAGGACGTCTACGCTTTCGCACTGGTGCCGGAATGCTAGGACTACATGTCATATTAGACTAGGTATGAGAATATAGATGTCAGCAAGAATCCAAGAGCAAGCAAGGAAGAAACAACAACAAAACGAGATGTGTGGTCCGGTAGAATGTGGAAGCTCTAGCTCCTCCGCTTCAGAGATAGAGATCCATGACATTATGATATGTCGCTGACGTTTTCCAAGACAGACCTTGACACAATTCGCGCACGGGTACTTCCGGTCACATTTGACCTTTCGACGTTGGCATAACATGCAAGCTAGAGGCCGAGGCTGCTTTGCATAAGGCCTATTCGGAGGAGGAGCTGACATCTCGCGAGATAAGTGAGCTGACGAGATAAGCGAAATGTGCACCAGGAGTCTCGTTCAATCTTTTCTGCCGATAGCGGGAACGGGTATGTACGGAGGGGCGATTGCGGGCCGGCCAGCAATTGGAAGACATGCGGGATGTCCAGTTGTGGGCGTCTCTTTGGTACCTCTTTCAGAAGCCGATGCGTTCATCCATCACAATGCAGCACAATTGTCGGTGGCGTCAACATGTGTGGGAAGTTGCGCAGACTCCCGTTGTGAGACGTCAGTCGGAAAGGGTGACGAAGTTTAAATCGAAGCCAATGCCTAGGAACCGAGCGGCTTGCTCGGCTGCAGGCCCCTGCAGCTGTGATGAACACGTACTCGTAAAGCGTCGAAGACCTCTAGCTAGGCTGCCACCAAGTAATACTACCAAATTGTGCCTAGGCCATACATTGATCAAGGGATCCATCTAGAAGGAGCACGTCCCCTTAGGCGAAATATTCCTGAAGAGACTCTTTTTGTAACCCGTCAAGTGAATCAAGCCACCCGGCGTAAAATGCGGCATCTGTGAAAAATCGCGCAGCGTCTCGCACAGCAAGCTTAAGCTAGCGTTTTCGATAGCGTTGTTTCACTGCGTGCTTTAACGGTTCCAAGAATCAACGCGTACTGCTAGATGTCGCTCCAGTCCTCCTGGTGACGCAGTGCATTCAGACACGCGCAATGAGCCGTAAAAGTATCCCGATGTCATGCATCTCAGCAAGAACTTAGAGGTCGCTTACGAAATATATCTTGTTCTCAGATTGTGATGTTAAGTCAGGACGTGCAAGCTAGCCTAGCGTATGGATACCTCTACTTTTACCTGTAATATGTGGCTGGCCGTTTATGCAAAGTAAGGTAGAGTATCAGTACCCTCCCCATGACTAGTAGAGGCGTTGAGCGAGGCAAAACGCACCGCTGGAAGATGCCGAGCCAGTAAAAGTAAGTTCTTCGGGGTCATAGTTCGTATGTTATCACAAAGCGAGGATCCAAGTGGAAGACATATATAGTAAAAAGTGGCTTAATTCCTCTAAGTGAGAGAGAACCTTAAGGGGTCGTATCTAATTACCGTACGAAGTGGACAGTCGTCTCGTAAGGTAGTAAGCGGTATCGTACGGCAGTGAATGGGGAGCGCCACATATGGCGTTACGACATATTGGCATGCCTTCATTCGGGCCAAGCAGATTTATAACTGTTTTGCCTCCTCCTTGATACGGAAGTCAGACTGGCAAGAGTCACATTGAATCTGAGCGCCCCGAAACGATAGGAAAGAATAAGCTTGAATCTTCTGATTGGCCCCAAACTTTAAACCAAGATTTCGAACGCGTAACGAATTCTTAAGCAAATGTTAAAGGACTTTCTGATGAGAACTCTTGTTAGATGTAAGGTCCAAGATCAATGTGTCCGTCACCATCTAGGAGTTGAAATAAGTTCAGATCCCCAAAGCCATGATCCATCTCGTTTCTTCCATCAAGTATAGATAAATCCGGCGTTCTGGGTAAGGAGGATGAAAGGCTTAAAAAGGACGCGTCCACATCCACAAAAGATGGCGAACCAAGCCCAAGAAAACCAGAGGCGGAGTTATTTGTCTTCGGGACGAGGTTTCGATCCGTGCTTGTATTCGGACTGGCCTCAGTAGCTGAAGCTTGGATGTTGTGGATGTTTTCAGTGCTTTCTCGCGGGACAAGCCCGAAAAGCTGCGAGGAGCTTTCAGTACGCTGGATACGCTCTCTGAGTTCCTTCTTTTCCAAATACTCGAGAGCAGCGTTGAGTAATGATTTTGCAATGAGTGAGTATTGTGAGGCGTGGGCATCGATTTTCGCAAAATGTTCTAGCACTAATATGGAGTTTCGCGTGTACTTTTCCAAAATGCGGCCAAAGGATCCGAGGAGGCCCACGCCCAAGATGAGAGATGAAGCAAATAACCAAGAGCTATAGAAATGAATAAGTCAGGTTCAATGATAATGCATCGGGGTGGTCACTCACACGACTAAAGGCATGTGCCCTATCAAAACCCCTTTCTCTGCTAGGCCAACTAAAATGTCAACCATGAAGCTTGCGGCATCGATACACGCATCGGCAAGTTTCGATTTGCCGGAGGTCAGACCTGAAGTTGTCGTTGGTGCCTCGGCAATCCCGTCGGCTAGTCGCTTGTGCAATTCATACATTAGGAAAGGTCGTGAGACCAAGATTACCGCTGTATCACATCAGTATCATCTCTTTGGGTCGTAGTGCTAGACAGAAATTGCTAAGGAAACTGACCGTAGTAGTAGGAACAAAGGACCTGACATGCTCCTGTCACTTTGCTTGCTTCTTGGTCAGATGTAGTGTCGGATATCGTGTCCTTTAGCCTCTGTAACCACCGAAGCGACCAGTCACGTAGCTGTCGTGAGATACCCTCGGTCAATTGATACGAAACCTTCCTTCTTGAGTACACCTCCACGACGATGCCTTCAGTAATTAGAAATATTTGCGCTGAAGCATTGAGTAGATCGAATATTTCTTGTCCCTCATCGTCCAACTCCCTGTATGGTACAGTGCAATCCACGTCAGATGTTGCAGGCGGCCGGCCCATCGATGTACTTAAGAAGAGATCCAAGACACGTAAGCTCTTCCACAGGCGATCCCTACCAAGTATGAGTGTTAGCGGTTTATTTTGGTGACGGAGTAACGAAGGGGGCTTGTACCGCTGTCTGTGAACGTCTGCACCAAATCGAGAGTTGATCTCGGTGCGGTGGATCCCGATCGAGTAGGCTGCTCTCACTGCAATGCCTGCAAGTTTGCCATGTGGTTAGTCTGAACCACCCTGCCTAAGTAATGTTATGATTGATAGTTCTGCCGGGAAAATACCGAAGAATAAGAACGCCCCATTCATTTGGCATGAACCGAGCATATAGACAGTAACTAGAATGAACGTCTGAATGGTTGGGACATTGATGTTCCCGCTGAGATTTGCGAGGGCGATATTGCGCGCATATTCAAAGTAGGAAGATGCAAGGTCTTCCTCGGAAGACTGGTAGCCTATGGCAAGAACGAGGTAAAAAGTGGCGGATACTGCGTCTTGTAGTCTACGGTTCTGACGAACCCAGGACTTAATTTCGTTGACGAGTTGCGCGTGTCCAAACAGATCAACTAGACCACTGGTCTGTAAGATCATGTATGATTGGTTATCAAAGTTGGGCACTCTGTAGCAACACAAGGAGGAGGTCTCACCACTTCATGGTACCTTGCAACAGCGCCCGATATTGTCGTAAGTTGGAGAGTGGGCTCGTCGTTTCCGGAATGTTGAACTGGCGGTCGGAAAGGTGGATTTTCGGTCTGGTGCGCAAAGACTTGCGGATCAACGCGTGTGTTCACCAATTGCCGGACAGTTTGGAAGAATGACAACGGCGCACAATCTCCAATGAAGACTTGATGGCATACGACACATCAGTTGGGGAATCAGGTATTATTTTTTTGGGGGATGGACGAACTTATTTTCCCCTGAGCGTCGCATAAAAGACGTCCTTCTCGAGGGACTTCTGTCTCTTCTTCGGCGAGGGCCTCGTGTGACGGGACTGATTGCCGGGTCTCGGACTGAACATCTGGGCCGTTGTGCACAGACGGAGACGGCGTTCTCAGAAGGGGTGCCGGAGCTCTTCGCCTCTGTTGCGGAGAGTATCGACACGTGGAAGGACGTTGCCGTCTCAAGCAATAGCTGCATGGCAACTTGCCATCGCATTTGACTATTTCATAGAA